GGGTCTGCGGGAGCTGGCAGGGGGTCTGCGGGAGCTGGCAGGGGGTCTGCGGGAGCTGGCCGGGGTCTGCAGGCCCCACCAGCTCACCAGGCTCAGGGGCTCTTAGGAGGCTGGCCTGGGCTGTGTGGTTAGCCCTTCTTTTCCAGGGGAGACCCCAAGCCCCACCCTTCTCTTACCTCTCGCTGCTCCTCCCCTTCTCCTCATCCTCGTCCTGATCTTCATTGTCAGACTCGCTGCTCGACTCCCCAGAGCCGCTCTCGCTGCTGCTCTTGCTGTCCGGCTCGCTCTCGGACTCGGGGTCTGCGGAGGAACCGTCTCAGACTCCCCCCGCCCCTGCTCTCCCCGCACTCCGCCAAGTGCAGGCCTCCCGGTCCCCAGCAGGTGCCCTGGGCTCGCAGCTTCAGACTCAGCTCTGATGCTGCAACCCTCCCCCCACCTGCCCCTGGTTCCAGGTGCCACCCAGACCAACAGGGACACAGCTGGACCCGCATGGACAGAGACCTGCACAAGCACACACACACCAGGAACCTGCAATCCCTCAGGTGAGTAAACACATAGGCAGGTGCACGTAGGTGCACACCCCCTTGGATACACAACCAGGTCACACACACACACACACACACACACACACACACACACACACACACATGCCTCAGACAGCACCCATGTGGGCAGCAGCACGGAGCCCAGCTCTCAATCTCCTCACCACTGTCTGCGGACTCCGTGGGGCCTGACTCGCCCTCAGAGTCTGAGTAGAAGGGTTTCTCCTTCTCCTTCCTCTTCTCCCGATTTGAGCTCTTGGTCCATTCAGGTACCTGGAGATGGGGGGCGGGTAAGAGAGTTAGTAAATTGTGGTTGGGGAGGGGGAATGACAGCATAGGGTCTCCTTATCCTTCACCCCACCTCTTCCGGGCCCTGGTCCTGTCCCAGGAGGAACTAGTGAGGGGTAGCTGCTCACAGAGGGGGCACGGACAAACCAAGGAAGAGACAGAGGGGAGGGAAGGCACAGGGCCAGCACGCAGGGGAGGGGGGAGAGGAAGCACTGCAGGCCGAGCAGAGGGCACACGGCACACGGGTGTGGGGACCTCAGTGTATTCGCCCAGCAGGCCCACGTGGGTCTCAATAAGGGAGAGATCTTCTTCCTGTGTGTGGGGAGGGTGTCAGGAGGGCGTGGCCAGCACGCGAGACACCAGGGCTCCCTGTCGTCGGTCCCTCCACCTGCGCGACTCAACCTCCAACCCCCGCTGACCTCCACGTTGCGCACGGAGGGGTCCGGGGCTTCCTCTGGCCAGTCTGGGAGCTCCTGGTAGCCTGTGGCCTTGGCATTGAGCAGGTGGGACAGTGAGCCCAGCTGGAAGTGGTCCCGGTCTGGGGACAGGGTGAGAGGTCAGCCTGTGAGTTGTTTCCTAGGGGCTGGTGTTGATCCTGGTTGGGGGGCGGGGGTGGGGGAGCCTCGCTGGGTAGATGAAAGGGTGGATGTGTCTCTTAATCGCTCTTCCACCCTGACCTTCAGGCCCACATGCTGGAGGGAAGGTGCTCTGGCCCGACCAGAGCAGGCTGAGGGGAGGAGGCAGGTGGGGGCGGAGGAGGGACCCTGGCCCGTCTGCTTGGGTTTGGTCCTGGGTGGTGGGAATGTGGTGTCCCCTCTCTTCCGGGGCAGTGTGTGTGTGTGTGGGGGGCGTGCTCAGCACCGCCAGGTTCCACAAGGAGGCCCCGCAGGGATGAGCATAGCGACCAGGAATGAGAGGCTGGCCCGGCTGGGTCAGGGCCTGGAGGGGTGAGAGCCCTGTGAGAGCAGGAGGAAGTCAGGGCCAGAGGAGGGCAGCACAGAGACTTGCGAGTGGGGACGGTCCTGGCAGGAGAAAGGGACAGTTCCCCTTCTCCCAGGAGATTTTCACATCTGCCCCTTCCCTCGGATGGGGGTCCCCACTTCAGCTCCCACCTTTGAAGGACGACTCCAGGACGGGGGCTGGTTTGGGCGCCAGGAAGAGCTTCTTGGCCTGGCGGCTGAGGGCCCCGCCCTGCTCCGAAGGCACGATGAGCTGCCGGGTGAAGCGTGCGCGGTCACGGATGTCATAGTTCTGGTCGTACTTGGCCAGGCTCAGCACGTACTGGGTCAGCAGCTTGGTCTTGGGGACAAGAGAGGGTGAGCACCGGTCAGGGAGTGAGGGACACAGGAGGTCCCAGACAAGGCTCTGACCGACACCACTGCATGGGGCTGCCCTCCCTCTTAGACCGCTGCCTCCCCCTCCCTCCACCCCAGTCCTTCCCACAGACTTTGTGTTCCCTCACCTCCCTGACTCTTGACCCCAACTTTTTTTTTTTAATCCTCACCCAGGGATATTTTTCCATGATTTTTGGAGAGAGTGGAAGAGACAGGGAAAGATAGAGAGAAACATCGATGTGAGAGAAACACATCCATTGGTTGCCTCTTGCATGCGCCAGACCAGGGCCCGGGCCACAGAGGAGCCTGCAACCAAGGTACGTGCCCTTGACTGGAATTAAACCCAGGACCCTTCGGTCCACGGGCCGACACTCTACCCACTGAGCCAAACTGGCTCAGGCCTGACACCAACTTTGACAGCTGCCCTTTGGGCCTTGGACTCCATTCATCCTCAGACTTGTGGACCCAGGTTTGCGGTCTCCACAGCCACAGTCCTCCCCTGAAAAGCTATACTGAGAGCAGAGCCAACCGCAGAGCCCGCACCGTGGGCTGCTGAAGGCACAGAAGTCCCGGCATGCACACTGCAGTGAGACAGCCGTATCCCAGACCCAAACCTCTCCATTTCTGCCTCATCCCTGCCTAGTCTACCTGTCTTTTTTTAAAATACATTTTTATTGACTTCAGAGAGGAAAGGAGAGGGAGAGATAGAAACATTAATGATGAGAATCATGGATCGGCTGCCTCCTGCACGCCCCACACTGGGGATAGAGCCCGGAACCCGGGCATGTGCCCTTGACAAGAATCCAACCCGGGACCCTTCAGTCTGCAGGCCGATGCTCTATCCACTGAGCAAAACTGGCCAGGGCTAGTCTACCTGTCTTTACAAACAACCGTGGTAGCCACTGTTGATGGAATGCCTCCTAGCATTAAGCACTCGGCACCACCCCAGGACGGAGCTCTGTGCCCGGCACAGCAGGCACTCGGGAAATGTCCTTTAAATCAATCCGTCAGCACAGGCACACGTGGCAAACGCATGTGGCCAGCAGGACAACCTGGGGAAAGGCATGTGGACACCAGGCTTGGGAAACAGGCCGACATCTGCATCCGGGGGCTCAGTGCTCGGCTCAGTCCTGAGCCGGTCGGTTCCGACCAGTGTGGCTCCCCGCCCACACGGCCTCACCTTGTCACACGTTCCTCCCACTGCTCATTGCTCCCCTCTGAACAAGGAGGCGCACATACTGTTCAAGGACTGAACGCTCCCCATGGTGCTCCCTATACCTTCTCTTCTCCAAGCTTCTGTTCCCACAATCCTGACACCCACAGGCCCAAGGCCCCGCTGTTTCCACACATGACTGCTGTCCCTTCCAGCTCCTGATGAGTCCCAGACCTGAGGGCCCCGCCTCCCCAGCCTGAGTTCCTGGGGCCCAGTGTAGCTACCGTGGATCAGAGGAGCCCTGAAGAAGCACAGTGCCACCACCCAAAGACTCCACGGGAGGCCAGAGTGGCCGCCTTCAGTCCTCCCAGGCCCTGGGCTCCCCAGAGGAAGCGTGCACACTGGGAACATTGGCCACTTGGGTCCAAGCCAGGCTGGCTCAGTGGATAGAGCGTCGGCCTGCGGACCAAAGGGTCCCGGGTTCAATTCTGGTCAAGGCATAGATCTCGGTTGCAGGCTCCTCCCCGGCCCAGGCCCTGGTCAAGGCGTGTGCAGGAGGCAACCAATCCATGTTTCTCTCACATGGATGTTTCTCTCTGTCTTTCCCTCTGTCTTCCACTCTCTCTAAAAATCAATGGAAAAATATCCTCAGGTGAGGATTAACGAAAGAAAAAAGAAAAAAGAAAAGAAAAGAAAAGAAAAGAAAAGAAAAGAAAAGGAGGTCTTGGTGTTCATGCCCACCTGGTGAGGGCACACAGAGTACTGCTTGGGGGGTTCTGGGGATCAACTGTGGAGGGGCACCTCTCGATCTGTACCTGCTTCGAGTTGGTCAGGTAGAGCTTGGCCGCCAGGTTGATGACCTGCAGCTTGACAATGTCCTCCTCGGCTGTGAAGGACTTGGCCATTTTCCTGAGGACGTCGGGTGCGATCTTGGGGACGTGCTCACAGTACTCGCCGATGAGCCACAGGATGCTGGCGCGGGCCATGGGCACCTGTGGCAGAGGGAGAGGCGTTAGGACCTCGGTAAACATGGCACATGGGCAGGCACGTGGCCTGCCAGGGAAATGGCGGGCGTCCCATCTGCACCGGCCGCTGTACGATGGGCTCCCCCAGAAACGGGAGTGGGGGCAGTGGGAGAAGCATTAAAAGGTGGGCAGCCTGACCAATGTGGCTCAGTGGGTGAGCATCGACCTATGAATTGGGAGGCTGTGGTTCAATTCCCGGTCAAGGGCACATGCCTGGGTTGTGGCTTGATCCCCAGTGTAGGGTGTGCAGGCGGCAGCCGATCAATGACTCTCTCATCATCTATCTTCCTCTCCCTTCTCTGAAATCAATAAAATTATATATTTTTTAAAAGGTGGGCGTTTCCTGGGCGACAAAGCCCTTCTTCCCTGGGGTTTCACTGGCTTCTTTTCTTTTTAAAATAGATTTTTATTGATTTCAGAGAGGAAGGGAAAGGGGGAGAGAGAGAGAAACATCAATGATGAGGGAGAATCATGGATTGCCTGCCTCCTGCACGCCCCCTACTGGGGATCGAGCCCGCAAGCCGGGCATGTGCCCTGACCGGGAATCGAACCTGGGACCCTTCAGTCCGCAGGCCGATGCTCTATCCACTGAACCACAGCAGTCGGGCTCACTGGCTTCTTCAAGCCCTAGTGTCAGTCGAGGTTTTAAAGACTGATTTCCTGGATCCACTATGTCCTCAATGCTTCGCTCCATGTCACTCTTCCTGAATCTCCAGGAGCACCTTGTTTCAAAGTTTCAACTTGCCAAGAACACACAGGACTTGTCAACCAGCCACCCCTGGCGAGAGCGTTGGAGAAAACACGAGTAGGGCGCTCGGTGAGGGGGTCCCCAAAGGGAAGGCGAATCTTGGGCAACAAGGTCAGGGTCACATGGCCCCATCTCCTCCCATCCTTCCACCTGAAGACCTTGTAGAGTCAGTGTGGGAGGTTTGGAGGTTGATTTAGTTAATTATAGGGTCTTAGGATTGAGGAAGGACCGGGGGGTGGGGGAGGGGAGGGGACGCAGCATCACTGCCGCCCACACCTGGATGTTGTCCGTGAGCTTCGCCAGGTGCTTGATGATCTCCCCGTGCTGTGCTGGCTGCATCTGCAGCAGCTTCTTAATGACGACCACCGACTCCGCGACCACCAGCTCTGCGGATGGAAGAGAGTGTGGGCCCCGATAGCCCGATGGCCATGCGCAGGCGGACAGACCCTGCCATGCCCCAGACCCTGGCTCTCTTCCTCACCCCCTGCACTCCGCCAGTGGCCCCGAGAGACGCAGGGACACCTGCACACCCACTGAGGCAGGCAGACGGATGGACACACCTTGTGCCTGGACAGACAGGTGGATACCCACCGGCCATCGGACACGCAGGCAGACACCCACTGGTCATAGGGTCGGACACTCAGACAAGCACTGACCATCACGGTTGGACAGCAGCTGCACCAGGCCGTTGAGGCAGGTGTCACGGACTCGGCCTATGTTAGTGGCACAGCGTCCAATGGCCTGGATCGTGGCTGCCACGAAGTCCTTGTCCATGCTGCGGATGTAGGTCTGTGGGACATCACAACAGGGTGACCCCTCAGGGACCCTGCAGGCTTGCGGGTGACCTTCGGGACGGCCACACCTCATTCAGTGACTCATCATGCCAGAGACTAAATTCTGGGAGAGGAACTGGCCCCCTCACCCACTGCCCAGTGATTCCCAGGCCCGAGGCCAGCAGAGGGCATTGGGAGAGGACCGAAGATGACCATTTCTCTGGACCCTTAAGAGAAGGTCTGCCCACAGAACGACCCTCACTGTGCCCAGGAGCCGTGGGCTGCTCTCCGGGGCCCTCGGGATGGGACCTGCCCCAGCCCGTACCTGGAATTCCCGCAGGACCGTAGGGATGTTGGTCTCGTTGGCCAGGTTGGTCAGCACTTCTAGCTGCAGGGAGGCAGAGAGTGGGCATCCTGTGCTTTCACACCCGGTCATTCCAGACACACTCCACACACCAGCAAACACTCCTCAGGCAGCCCCAGCATCCTGAGGCTGACCGGGAACTGACAGGTCAGAAGCTTGCCCGCACTGCAGGAGGGCCTTTTCGCCTCTTAAATGGATTCCCTGACAGATGCACTTACAGCCTGATCATGTCACTTCTCCCTCCATTGAAAACGTAAAGCCTGCCCTAGCTGGTTTGGCTCAGTGGATAAAGCATCGGCCTGGGGACCAAAGGGTCCCGGGTTCGATACCAGTCAAGGGCACATACCTCGGTTGCAGGCTCCTCCCTGGCCTGGGCCCTGACTGGGGCGTGTGCAGGAGGCAACCAATTGATGTGTTTCTCTCACATCGGTATTTCTCTCTGCCTTTCCCTCTCTCTTCCACTCTCTCTAAAAATCAAGGAAAAATATCCTCAGGTGAGGATTAAAATAATAATACAGTGGGGTCTTGACTTACGAGTTTAATTCGTTCCGAGACCGAGCTCGTTAAGGAGCTCGTTAACTCAAATTACTCTATCAACTCAATGCAAAAAATCGGCCGAGAGAGACAGCTGGTATCTCAAAAAACTCGTTAGTCGGGACACTCGTAAGTCAAGGCCCCACTGTATTAATAAAGAAAACATAAAGCCTCCTACTGCTTTTAGGATAAAGACTAACATCTTCCCTCAGTCTGGAAATCCCTGATCTCCCACCACTTCCCCTTGCCTCCCATGCCCCAGTCACACAGGTCCGTTGTCAGACTCCTGCCTGCCCCAGGGCCTTTGCATGTGCTGTTTCCACAATGTGGCTGGAGTGCTTCCAAATCCTGTCCCTGCCTTTACTTAGGTAATTTGTGTTCATTTCTCAGGCCTGAGTTCAAGCCACCTGCTGAGGGAAAATTCCCCTGGCACCAGACTACATCAGGTCCTCCTATTTCAGTGATGGCGAACCTATGACACGCGTGTCAGAGGTGACACGTGAACTCATTTTTTTGGTTGATTTTTCTTTGTTAAATGGCATTTAAATATATAAAATAAATATCAAAAATATAAGTCTTTGTTTTACTATGGCTGCAAATATCAAAAAATTTCTATATGTGACACGGCACCAGAGTTAAGTTAGGGTTTTTCAAAATGCTGACACGCCGAGCTCAAAAGGTTCGCCATCACTGGCCTATTTTATGCTCTTACAGCTCCCTGTACTGTTCTTCCATGCCGCATTTCACAAACGGATTTTACGTTTGTTTTAGGATTAGCTGCTAAATGCCTCCTCCTCACCCCAGTGAGACTGTGGGCTCCACCAGGGCAGGATGCCTGATTAGTTTGCTTTCTCTGAACTGTTTAAATGACTCAGTGAGGCAGCAGAGCAGGAACGGGATGGGGTACAGGCTCCTGTGGGCATATATGTGCATGAAAGCCCGAGGAGTGGGAGTGTGGGGGTGATAATACCGTGGGTGGGAGACGGAGGGCTGCACTGAGAAAGCATGAATTTTCAAGGCAGCAGAATTGACCTTGGGGTGGTCACCTCCTCTCCTGAGGTCCACGTTTTAATAAAATGGCGAAAATGTGCACTTCCTGAGGTGGTTGTGAAAAGTGCCAGGTATAGAACAGGTCTAGGCAAGGGTCAGTTCCCTTCCCCGTCCCCCCGCCCTCATTAGCCTGGCTTCCTGAGCAAACACTTCCAGCTGAGAGGCCACGGGCTCAGCCCCAGACACAGGCAGGCGCCCAGGTGGCCACTGTGGATACCTGAGTGGGGCAGGGTCCTCAAACTTTTTAAACAGGGGGCCAGTTCACTGTCCCTCAGACCGTTGGAGGGCCAGACTATAGTTTAAAAAAAAACAACTATGAACAAATTCCTATGCACACTGCACATATCTTATTTTGAAGTAAAAAAACAAAACGGGAACAAATACAATATTTGTATTTGCATGTGGCCCGAGGGCCGTAGTTTGAGGACCCCTGGTCTATGGGGACGGGGGCCGTGGCCAGAGAGGCCACAACCACTTCTGTCTGTCACTCACCTTCAGGATCTTGATCTGGGTGGGGTCGGTGGACCTGATGTAGAAGCTCTTCAGGTAGGGCTCGAACATACCCTGGCACGGGAGAGGCAGCCAGGGAGTTCCCCCACAGCCTCTCTTCCAGGGCAACCCTCGTCCCGGCCCGGGGCCCAGTGACCTCCCTGCCAGGTCACTGTCCCCCACTCCTCAATGTCCCCCTCCTCCCTCTAGATCCAACGGGGTCTTTCTTCATGGGCTTTCCTTCCTGAGTGGCCCTCAGGATCCTGCATTTGGGGTCTCCCCTCCCCTACGCTGCACTGCCAAAGCCCTTTCCCAGCCTGCTTCTCCCCGGATCCCCTAGCGCCATGAGCGCCATGAGCGCCATGGAAGCCACCCCTCGGACCGGGAGGGCAGGCCTTGGTCACTTGCTCACCCGGCGCTTGATGGACATGGTGGCCACGTTCTGGAGCACCACGTACTGCACCTCACTGCAGAGGAGGGTCAGAGGTTATGGGGACCCCTCGCTGGGGCAAGGGGCAGCCGGTGGAGGTAAGGAAAGTGGACCAAGTAGGAAGGAGGAGGGGACCGGTGTGGCCAGGGCACCAGTAGGAGGAGATGGGCCAGGGTGGGCTCAGGGTCCAGAAGTGGGCGGGCCAGGGCTGGATGTG